CAAAAGCAGAGATAGAGGGCATCCTTGACGAAGTCCCCTCTTGATATTAATTTTTTAGTATGGGACCTATAAACAGAATCGATAATGAAGCTGTCAATACGCACAGATGAATCTGTTTTCTCCATCTTTGTATAGAACTCATTTTCTGCCTAACTAAATCCAAGAAACTTCAATCGACGGTATCATACACTCTCCTAAAATTTCTTATAGAAATTGAGGTTAAATCCATCAGGTCCCGATGCTCGATTCTCATCTGACCTTTCAATGATTGCCCAAACCTCTTCCAGAGAAAATGAAGCTTCAATAGAAGCAATTGTGACAGGATTTTAACACTTTCAGATGCCCTCAAAACTCAACACTGGGATGGTGGGCACTTCATTGTACATTGCATGAAAATAACTTTCAAACGCAGCAGCGACGAGATCCTGGTTTGACAAAGAAACATTGCCCATTTGAATTGAGTTGATGTGGTTCTTCTTGTTCCGAATTGAAGCTGTTAAATGAAAAAAAAATTATGTTCTTATCACCTTCGACGAACCATTTCAACCTTGATTTTTGTAATCACTCTTTCTTCATTCCTGAACTTTTTTCTTAAGGACGATTTTAACGAACTGATCTCTGTTCGACTTGCATATTTAACTTTTTTTTAATTATGAATTTCATCAATTTATTATATAAAAGTTGATAAATTAATCTTTCTACTTTAATTAATAAGATACTATTTTTTTTGAATTAATCACTGGTATTCGATCTATTGACCGACTAATCCAGATCGGATATTACAGAGGCGAGGGCGACCCTCCCAACCCAATTTTCTCCATTCACAAATGCCAAGATTCGAACCCCTGACATTGCATTACTGATTTAGTTGTTGTCAAAATGTAAACTTGTGTTACTGATTGATTCGAATATTTTCTACCCTGCTGCCTAACTTATAGTATATCATCCGAATTGTTCTTTCATTTTCGTAAAATTATTGCTTTGCTTTATAAACAAATATTTTTTGGTCAATTTTTAGTATTGGTTTTTATATTATATATAAGCAATATATTTTATTTGTATACTCTTAATTATTTTTCATTATTGTATATTATGAGTTATGAATTCATTAATCTCCCGACTTAAACAATAAACTGATAATGTGATTAAATTAAATGAACTTTAAATAATTAAATCGAAGAACATGAATTAAGTTTATAACAAAAAATTAAGAAATATATGGACTAAATTCATAATATACTTACAATACAAGGATCAACATAAAATAAGGGTTTATAGATTTTTTTTAATTGACAAATAGTATTTTAAATTAGTATATTTATTTTTTGTCCATAATTAGTGTATTTATTATTATTCAAATTTAATATTAAAATATTTTATCAAACTAAAAATACACTTTGTATTCATATTTAATTTCATGTTTAATATGGTTTAGACTATATTTAGTTTTGAATCCATTTAGTAATTTCAGTTATTAAAAAAGTATTATTCTCTTAGAGTTCTTGAGTTCGAATAACTGTATTTATATGATATGTCTATGTTGTCCACGGTTAAGAAAGAATATGAATAGATATTTACCTTATAATTACTTAATTTTTTTTATGAAATAAAAGGTCGAAACTTTCTCATTTAATCAGATATATTTAATCAAATAAAACTTTTGAAATACTTTGCGTACAGACTTTGAATCAAGTAAAGTTGTCTTGAAATAGAAAAGTTTTTAAAAAGTAATTTATATGTTTTATGAAGCAAAAGAAAAGGACATTGCTTTTCCAACTGAAAGTTTGTAGAATCAAAGACCAGATTCTTGTCCTACTTGTATGCTTTTTTAATTTGAAATAGACAACATTCTGATTCCAAATCCTCCTCTAAAAATGTTATCAACTTTCTTCGACATGACATAAAAATATTGGTGCTTGGTGCTTGCTAAATTCGAGCCTTTGATTCTGATGGAAAACAATAACATAATCATTTGGTGACAATAAAATGAAACATGCACCGTAGAATTTGGAAATATTTTTTTTTTATAATTTTCGATACATTAATTTGCCTCTGAATATTTAAAAATTTATTAAAAATAATACTTTTAATTCAGTTTATTTCATTCACAATAATATTAGTATTAAAAAATTAATTTATTAAAAAATTTAATATTTTATTTTATTAAATAGAATAATAATTGGTACATCTAAAAATAACTATCGGTTATCTTACACTTATTTAAAGATATTGCGATTTATGTATGAGATAAGACTTACATCGTTTAGATTCTTAATATCTACGAACTTTATACTTTTATTTATATCACACTAATAAGTGAATTTTATTTGTCTTTTCCGACCGACGACGAAAGTCAAAGTTCTGGTCGCCAACGGTATTCACTCCCCATTGTCGGAGACGGAAATTCAAAATATTTATCAAGGGTACGATGTTTCATAAATATTTTGTTTCCATTATTAGTGATCAAAGAGTAAGTATTTCCGATCTGTACTCGAGTAGGTGTCTCTAGATAGACACGATAAGATATCTATTTGGATAAATTCTATATTTAGTCACCAATCTATTATTTTGGTTATGTTTTGGTCAGTAAACTATTTTCTCAAAATCGTCACTAACATTATGTTTTGATTTCATTTTGATCATCGGTCACTAAAAAATCAACGGTTATATTAACATGTAACCATAAGATAATATCAAGTGACTCATGTCATCATTGAAAAATGCCATATCAACAATCATGTTAATTTTTAATGGCGGCTGATCAAAATTAAACGAAAATACAAACTTAGTGATTATTTTTTAAAGATAAACGATCGAAATGAAACTAAAATGATATTTAAGTGATTAAACATGTAGTTTATGTTATTTATTTTGTGATAGTGTTGCGAGATTAAACGTTTTAAAAAAGTATTCTTATCATATACATCAATCTTTAATTACTATCTTATTAAGTTTTCAATTATTTATTACTTTAAAAAAATTAATAATTAGATTGAATTTAAACAAGAACTGTGAATATCTTAAGTTGTCGTAACAATAATAATAATAAAGATTAAGAAGAAACATTCTACATACATACTTATTATTTTATAAACTATATATTACGTATCTAATTTATCGCAATATAAACAGAATGCCATCCTACTTTACATCCAAATATTTCAAATATTAATATTTATTATTTTTAATATAATCATATTAAATTAATTAATTAAATTAAGGCATAAAGCCCTCAAAATTTTAATATTAGTTAAGTTTTAATTTTTTTTCACTCAATTAAATCCTCAATCCAAAAAAAATTAATTAATTTTTTAAAACCAAAAGTTGAATCGATTAGATCTTTTGATCATTTTAGAGCTTCAATTATTAATATTTTTTAAGGCATTTCTATCAAATGACATGTTGTGGTTATGCTATGTGGAATCTGTTGATTTTTAAAGAAAGTTTTTAAAAAATGTTATTGAAGTTTTAAAATAATTTTAAGAAAATCTAAAATATTAAAAAGTTAATATATTTTTAAAAATATCATTCAATAATATCATGATGTGATATGTGGTATCAATTGATATAAAAAAATTGTTAGATTTAACTATTAACGTTAATCAAATAAATGAATTGATAAAATTTTAAAATATAATAATTTAATTAGGTAACATCTAATTAAAAAAATAAAAAATAGGGTAATGGAGTTCTATTATGTTATCAGCATATGTTTTTAATTGTTTGAGCAAGGTTCAAATTTTTTTTTTTTTGTTCTCTAGGTAAAAGAAAATGACAAGTTTTAAAAGTTTAATTTTATCACCTTATAGAATCTGAGCTAGGGCTGTAAACGAGTAGAGTCGAGCTCGAGTATTGTTGAACTCGACTCGACTCGAAAACTCATGAGCAAAAAATTAATAAGCTCAGTTCGAACTCGAAATATAATATTGAAACTCGACTCGAACTCGAAAAAGATCGAACTCAAAAAAATTCAGAAACTCAATTGAAGCTCGAGACTTGAGCTCGATTCAAGCTCGAACTCGATTCAAGCTCGAACTCGATTCAAGCTCGAACTCAAACTTGAATTTGAACTTACAAAATTCTTATATTACATTTAAAAATATATTTTTAAAAAATTTATAATTATCAATAATGTATTTTTAATATATTTTTAATAATGTAATTTTAAAAAATCTAAAATTATAATATAACATTTTTTCGAGCAGCTCGTGAGCTTTACGAGTCGAGTATTAAGTAGCTCGTTTTAATTCGTTAAGAATTCGAGTCGAGTTCGAGCTCGAGTCGAATTCATTCGATTAGAGTATTGATAGAGCTTTGACCGAATCGATATCGAGTAACTCGTGATCTGTCTCGTCTCATTTACTACCATAATTTCCAATTCCAAATAAACTCCGAATTATTACTCGAATAAATATTCTTTTATGGTACATGCCTATCCCCGAATTTCTCCATGGAATAGCCGTTACCATGCCACTGCCAAAAGCATCACATCAAACCAAATATGATGCTGGTTTAACTCACGCGCCATGATAGCTGGTTTGAGCCACGCGTTAACTCATTATCCCGCGAAACACATTTATTCGCCTTCGCCTTTCACATTCTCCACCTTTGTCCCCTTCCTCGCCCAGGCTCTTAGATAGCGCTTAAACCTCACTCTCCTCCTTGCCAAGTATATCAACTTTCCATTGAAGACGAAAAGAGTGAAAAAAAAGGGAATTCCGTCGGAAAATGACGTGAGATATCAATATCTGCAGGAGGGGTGTGAGTAGGTTAAGAGGAAATGGAGCGTAGGATAAGACGCCACCTGTGCGCACATAGCTATAGTGGAAAGATAGCATTTTTTTATGTATAAAATACATAATAGTTGATAAATAAATTTGTTTAATGATAATGCTGTTGAGTCCGTGTAGAGTGTAGATAACGATAACACGAATACAAAAATACAAAGGTGATAGTTTAAAAAAAAAGGAAAATTATACGAAAAAATACAAAGTATTTGATGCAAAAACATTTTAAAATCAAATATAAAAAAAGAAAAAGATTGCGGAACAGTGAAAGGGGTGTATTAAGGTGTGGTGTTCTCACTGAGACTGATGATAGGAATAATGGGACTGAGTGCGATTTCGGATTGAAGAAGAAGCCATTGCTTGTTAAAGTTTCAACATTTTTTTGCTGTTTTTGGTCCTATAATTTTAGCGGGAAACTTGTTCTAACGACCCTTTCAACGAAAAAGGTTGGGTTTTTTTTCCTTGTTTATTCTCTCTTTTTTGAAAGATTTTGGTGGGTGTTTGGTTTCCGGGAAAGCAAGGGAGAAAACCATTGGGAAAACATGATATCTAAAAGCTGGTTAAATATGATTTTGGTCCTATAATTTGAGTTTTGCTATGCTATTTTAGTTTTTCTATAAGATGGAAATTATGAAAAGTATTGATTTATTTTTAATTTTGATTTTTTTGTTTACGAAAATAGAATTTTTCTGTGAAACAAGTTGTTGGGAAGCAATTTTTGGGCTAATTTGATCATTTATGGGTTTAGCGTTTAATGGTTGGCCATGCATCTTTTGATCTATTTTATCTATATTGAATGAAATATTGGCTATTAGAGTTAATGATTTACTCTTTTCATATTTGACTTTCTGGAGTTATTGAATGTCTCAAATATATGTTCTGAAAATCCTCTTGATCATATTCGTATTCGTATGTATAATTTATTTATTTATTTAGGGTTTTCTTTGAACTCTACTTGTATTTTTATTGAACCTGTGGCGATTTCATTAGATTTGGAATTGTTTTCAGTGCCATCCTATCTAATTCTGAAGCAGAAGAATCTGTTTTCTTTCTGCAAGTTTTGTTCTGTGCATAATAGGAAAGTTCCAGTGGAAGAAAATCTTTGCTAGTTTTGATGGTAATGGAGAATTTTAGGACTAAGAATTGGTCCACCATGAACACTAGAGAAAAGTTAACAGTGAGCTCCAATAATGGCAACAGTTTACATCTTAAGACATAAAGTGGATAGAGGAGAATCATAATTGGTTTTCAATCTTTTCTTACACTTGGACTCAAATAAATCTGTGTAGAGGAGAGAGCACTAAATTCAAGTTGATTCTGCATAATTGATTGCTTCTTAGTGGGATCGTAAATGGGATGGGGAAGCATAAAAAGATGTGATGGTTCATGCTTGATGCTTTACTAACTATTTACTATAATCTACGACCGCCGTGCAGTGCATTCACCACTGTTGCCGGTGCTACTATGCAGCATAGACTTATCTTCGTTAACTGCTAAGCTTCTATAATGTCTGGAATAGAGGGAACTTTAACTTCATGATAGCAAAATTAACGGAAAGGGGAAAGAAGTTAAGAAGAAAAGATTGCAGGAGCTTGCAGAAGAACCAGGGTCGTGATTGTTCAAGCTGTTATACTTGCATAGGAGCTTGTAAATGATTCTTTTGAATTGAAGTTTAAACTGAAAATCAAAGTTTAGATTAGAGCGATTCTTTTCTTTCTATTTCTCGGTAGCGTTTACTTCTTTCTCCTTTGTTCTTACAGTTGAGAAATACGTTTCTTGTGTACTCTTGCAAATTTACTGTTTTTTTTCCTCTATAAGATGTTTGTTGAGTTCTTTAACTAAACTTCGGTGGTGTCGTTGAAGAGGTAACCGAGACTGGTTATACTCTCTTTGATGGCTTCATTCTATCCGTAAAATCTTGCAAATTTACCATTTCTCTTCCAACTTTTATATATGGAGTGGTTCTGTATTTTAGTCAAAGCTGTCAATATACATTAATTTTAGCAGTATATCTAATGTTTTGTGTAAAAGCTAATCACAGAGATGCTGCATATTTTAGGACAACCCCAATCAGATACTCTTGCATCAGTTTTCTTCTTTAGTTAAACATCTTGATTTATTGATGGGCGATTCTCAATTGAAAATATCGTATCTGATTAGCTTTTATAATTATGTTCTTTGTTGCTTGTTCATGTTGTTCTTCTCCTCAAGCTTATACATTTCGATGTACTGTTTCCTTACAGACTTTAAGCTCTCAAATGCCTACAATATCAATTTAACTTGTACAAACGCCTCCTCTATTATCAGTTGAGGAAGTATGGACTTCCCGTCCACCCAGTTTGTGCCTTCCAGAACCATGGGTACCTATGAACCTATCCACCAGATTGGGATGTGGGGAGAAAATTTAAAGGGTATTGGCAGTCCAAATATATCTCCATCAGTGATTGTCGATGTGGCTAATAAACTAGAAAACGAGGTACAGATTTTGAAAATATTGTTCTTTGCTCAGTATCAAATCACATATATCCTATTTTGGAGACAAGTAACATTTTATTTGAATTTTTCAGTCAGAGACTACTTCACATGAATTGCTGGCACCTTCTAGCAAGTATGACCAAGAAGCAAGTAAACCTTTTGATAAGGTACCTGTGAATTGTATGCGATGGTGATTATTTATTTCTTTTCTCATATTAATGGACATAAATATTGTCTGGATCATACTGTATGATATTGGATCATATTAAGGTACCTTCTTGTCATGTCAATGATGACCCAGGCATGCAGATGGTCTTAACAAATCTAAATTTAAATGGAAAAATATGCGTTCCTCAAAGCACTTTGAGCATTTTACCTTAAATAGAGCTAATCTGCTTTGTGCATTTTACCTTTAATATCTATAGATACAAAGACGTCTTGCGCAAAACCGTGAGGCCGCTCGTAAAAGTCGTTTGCGGAAAAAGGTAAGATAAAGATAAATATGGATTTGCACTGTAATAGGTTACCAGAAGGCAACATTCAATCTTTTTTAAGGACTTGATTTTGCATCATCTTTCAGGCATATGTTCAACAATTAGAAAATAGTCGCTTAAAGTTGATTCAATTGGAGCAAGAGCTTCAACGAGCAAGGCAACAGGTTTGAAGCAGATTAATATCATATCTATTTTCATTTTCTATTTGTTTTTTTGTCATTGTTGAACTCTTTAAAGCAACTTGATAAATAAAACTTTTACAGCAGGGTCTTTCTGCTGGTGGTGCAATAGAAGTTGGTCATCTTGGAATTTCTGGTGCAGTAAACTCAGGTTTGTTTGTTAAAATGCTTTCAGTTATCACTACTACTTTTAATCTTATGTTTTAAATATTTTTCTTGTTGAATTTTTATATGATATTTCAGTTGTTTTGTTATTTGACATTTCGGAATGCATTAATGCTTGTAACTTGATCTTGCAAGCCGTGCCTTATTAGTTATTTATAGTTCTATAAAGGCATTTTTAATGTCTTCAATATTGACAGTTGGTCTGTAATTGGCAGACCACATTGAAAATGTTTTGGTATTATATGAAGTTCCATTGCATCTGATGTGTTAAATGCCATCTTTCTGCAATAATTCCCTTTGGCATCATTTTCTTCTGGTTCTTAGTTGATTTCGTTCTTTAATGTTATTCAATGATTAGCCCATCTGAGGATTCTGCAGGGATTGCTGCATTCGAGATGGGATACGAACGTTGGATGGAAGAACAAAATAAACAAATATGTGACCTCAGAATTGCTTTGGATGCCCAGATAAGTGATATAGAGCTTCACATACTTGTGGAAAGCGGCATGAGCCACTATTTGGAACTGTTCCGCATGAAATCAAGCGTTGCGAAGGCTGATGTTTTCTATGTGATGTCTGGTACGTGGAAAACAACAGCAGAGCGATTTTTCTCATGGATTGGAGGGTTTCGGCCTTCTGAACTTCTTAAGGTGATGCATTATTTAGTTTAATTAACTTCTTAAGGTGATTCCTGTTCTAGGTCTTTTGAGGGGAAGAGAACCTATAGCACAGTATCTAACTGCAAATCCTTTCCGCTTGGTCTTTTTACTCACATGGTTACAGCTCAATCAATGGTACTTTAACCCATGTTACTCAAACTCGGATGCAAGTATTGGGTACAAGAATTTGTCCCATGAGTATGTTTGGTTCTTTTAAAAATTTTCATGTATTCGAAGGATCATATCTTATATCCATGTTGCTTGAAGGGCATAGTTTCTTGTGTTTTTCACCGGAATTCTGGTCCAAGCTCTATTGCCAAATGTGGAATCATTTTTTGTGTGATTATATTTTGATTACAGGTGCTAGTGCCTCAAATAGACCCCTTGACAGACCACCAAATTTTGGAAGTTTGTAATTTGAAACAATCATGTCAGCAAGCTGAAGACGCCCTTTCGCAAGGCATGGAGAAACTCCAGGAAACTGTGTCTGCAACTTTAGCATCGGGTCAAATGGGTCAAGGTACTTACCTTCCTCAGGTGGCTATGGCAATGGAGAAGTTAGAAGCTCTTGTCAACTTTGTGAACCAGGTAATGATATACAATCATCCTGCGGTCTCATAGGTTTAATTCAAGAACTTAACACTATTTTTGGTTTTTTTTTTCCTTGCATATGCTCTTCTCATCATTGTTATTATACCTGTAAAGCTGTAACTAACACTTGGGTCTGACACTATTAAGATATGTGTACGGAAGTATGAATGAACAATCCTCTGAATATGAAAAACAGAAAAATTCAATGTTTTTAAATCATCCGGTATAAGCACAACATGGTCCTATTCCATGTCACCTTGACTTGGGGTGTGTTTTGTTAATAGATGTCAAATATAAATACTTAAAGAGAAAAACAAGAGTTCGAATAATATAAATCTTGTTTACTAGAATCCTTGGTGATGTTTTATATACGAGAAACAAGATATCTGGGTGATGTTTCAAAGTTTCAACTAACGTCTGATATTTTTATATATGCAGGCCGACCACCTACGTAAAGAAACACTACAGCAGATGTCTTCCATCCTAACTACTCGACAAGCAGCTAGAGGCTTACTTGCTTTGGGAGAATACATCCAACGTCTTCAAGCTTTGAGTACAGTTTGGGCTAATCGTTCTCATGAACCGGCCTAGCCTTACGGTAGAAAACATTAGATGATCACTGCAAGAACTGTTCTTCTGGCAAACAGAGACGGCGTTTGGTAAATGCCATTATAAAGATAAGTAACATCAATTTATGCAGCCCACAATTTTTTTGAAGCAGTTTATGTTAATTTTACATGGGTAAGATTGAGATCAAAACGATTTTTAGTATGCTATGTTGTACATTACATATAATCTTGAAGGTGTGTATATACATACAGATATATATATATATATATATAGGTTCAACATTTGAGTGATATATTGCAGTTGAAATTTCTATGTAAATTTTGTGGAAATGTTGTATCTATACTATGAACATGGCCAATGAGTAATTGTCAAAAGTTGCCCATGTAATGTAATGGTACATTCATTGTTAACAAAACTTCACTAATTCATTGGCTCTTAAAATGCTTCCGCTCTGAAAAAGCACAATATTTTGTTTTCATTCTAGTGCATGGCCAAGAGTTTTCTTAGTCTCCAGGCACTTAGCCGGAATCCAATTAATATTAATCAAAGCTTACATTGCATTCTATAGGAGGATGGAAGTTGTTTTGTGTTACTCGTACTCGATCATCTTCTGCTTCTTTCACTGGTATGCGTGAGATTGAGCTCGCCAGTTGCAGCTACTTCTCCCTTAGAATCTTCAATGTGATATATAGCTAATTAGCATTTAGCATAGTAAAGAAGATAAGGACAATAATCTTGTACCAATCCAGCTCGACCAAGAAGGTCAACCATCAATGCATAATGGCTCAGTGTTGGTTCAATTTTGTGATCATCTTTCATCAAATTATAATACCTCCAGTCCAACATGTGTACAAGCAGAGAGCACACCTACATATGTTATATGGTCAGCAACTTCTCAAAATGCCATGTTGAGCAAGAGCCATTATCATGGATGCCAAAGATACAATATCTCTGAACCATTGTATCTGATTAAATACTTTCCTTGCACAATTAATGCTTCCAGCTCTAGCATGCATGGTAATTTGTATGAATTTGTTTGCCATGATTCATTGAAGTCAAACTTGAACTGACACTCAGCAGCATGGCTGCCAGTGCAGTTATTTGGTTTAGGACTTTCTCCAACCATCAACCTAAAAAGCTCCAACGCATCATTATTCAAGCCATTCTGCAAGTACCCAACAATCATTCAACCATGTCAGCAAAAAGTAAGAATCCGCTTAGGATCGGGATTTTGAACACGACGTGAATCGAACACGGATCCACGGGTGAAAACTGATGACAATAAAATATATATCACTTTTAAAAACTGGAAGAATGCCATAAGACATCGAGTAAAGTTGCTGGAAATCTGCAAATGATATCACTTCTATTTTGGAACTTCTTTAAAATAATTTATAGATGTATTGGTTATATATAGATATATATATATATTACAAATAAGATACGCTACAATCTGTAGATGGTACAAGTTCTGTTCTTTCCATCCACACATCCGAGTTTTTTTTTTAATTTGGTTTAAATGCATCATTATTTTTCTAAAGTATGTTACTTGTATCAAGTTATTTTTTAAATTATATTTTGAGTTTGAAGTTTAAATCGTTATCTTGTTTGCACCAAACTATTAATTCGGTTAAAAGAAGCAAACTAAATTATATATTTAATTACTCGATTATTTATATGATTCTTTTCATCATCAAACTGTTTTTTCTTTTAAAATTATTATTAAACTTAAATTTTTATTCCATTTTAATTACTCAATTCAACTGAATTTATTTATATTTTAAGTTTATATCACATGTTTTTTTTACTTGATACATAAATTTAATTTATAATAATAAATAATATTGTAACGTAAATAATAAATAATATATTAAAATATTTGTATTTGAAATTTTAATAAAAAAATATTAAATGTTAAATTAAAATATTATAAATATTTTAAAAAATAAAAATATGAATGAGTCATTATTCATTTGTAAATATACATATTCAATACAATTTAAATCTCACATTTTGATTTGGATTAATTTTTTTATTAATTTGTGGTAAGTACAAGACAGTATATGTTCAAACATAAATCTCAATCTTTCGACATTGACGCTTACACCCCTGACATCCATAGTGCTTGAATCCGAGTACTCAATGAATAACAACAATTCTTTTATCACATATACCACTTGATGAATTGATTGCTTTTAATATACGTTGATTGCTTGTAGTTATGATCTTCATTATAAGTTTGCCCCATTAATGGAAGACTGAAATTTCAACTACAACTGGTATTTATAGTTAGCCCCACTCAATGATCTCTTTTCGGTGCAGCTAACATCGTTACAACTACAACTCCACTTATTGTAATTACTAAATTTCAAAATAAATTTTGAAGTAAGACCCGAACAAAAATTGGTATTTATAATTACCTCTCTTTGTCCATTGAAGACATGAATAGGGCAAAGAAAAAAAAGATGAACAATTTTTGTTCGGTTATATCTTCTATTGTGAAATCTTCTGTTGTCTTATGAGAGATAAAAAAATGATTCTTATCTCAAGGGTATAGGGTTTTAATAAAGAAATTTTAAGCAAGACAAGATTTTTTCATGAGAAACTATGTCAATGCTTTGGGTTTCTAAGGAAACTGTCTCGAGCAAGACAAAATTAGTTTCTAAAGAAATCATCTCATATGAGATAAATTTTTTAATTTTGAAAGTAAATTGCCTTGAGTGAGGCAAAATTTGTTTAAGTTTTTGTTTCAAGGGAAACTGTGATAAGCAAGATGAAATTTTGCTTTAAGAGAAATAATCTCAAAAGATACAAACGAGTTGTTCTTTCGCATTGAGGAAGTTTAATCATTGTTTAAACATATTTGGAAACAAAACTGCTCCTTCGTGTTGAACATATTTGGTCGCTTCTGGGTGATTTGCTTGATATTAAATCTGGTGGTAACATTACTCTTTCGTATTGAGGAGATCTAGTCTATGGACGATATTGTTCCTTCGTGTTGAGGACGTCTAGTCACATTTGGACAATTGTACGTACAAAGACAACATTGTTCCTCTGTGTTGAGAAAGACTGATCGTCTAGAGATAATTTGATTTTTCGAACGATATTGCTCCTTCATATTGAGGAGATTTAATCTGGGGACAACATTGTTCCTTCGTATTAAAGACATCTAGTCGTATATGGATGATTTGTTTTTTCGCTTGTGGAAGTCAGATTTGAAAACAATATTGCTCCTTCATGCTGAGGGGATCTACTTATCTTTAGATAATTTGTTTGTCGAAGACGATATTGCTCTTTTAAGTTGAAGAGATCTAGTCGTCACAAATCATTTCTTTCCTGAAATGTCTGTGAAAAATGGGCATATACGAATGCAACTATCTTAAATGTTTCCATGGTTGCTAGGCTAAAATCCATCTGATATATTTTTATCTTTTGAAAATGATCTTTTGAATTTTTTTATCACGAGAGGAGAAAATAGTCTCACTTAAGACAAAATTTCAAGAGAAATTTTAAAGGCATCCTCGTGAGATGGAAGTCGAAGTTTATTATGTTGCATGTGATGACGAATGTATAATACAAATATGCAAATTCATGAGATAGGTATGTCCATGTTGATGCATATTTTCTTGATCGATAGTCAGGAATGGACGCACGAGTAGTCTTTATTCTCTTCCTGGTTTGGTTGTCTTTATTTTTTTTTACACTAGAGTGTACCTTTGTAATTCTTGACTTGTGTAAACCTATTCATTGTTCCCTAGTAAATCTTGCCCAAAAAATTACCATCTTTTCTTACCCCAGTTCTAATCATGATCTTATATGTTTGAGAGATATTTTTCAATTTCCACAATCTACTTTTTGAGATTGTCTTGTTTAAAAATGTTTTCCTTTTCTTTATTTTTCAAAAGGTGAAAAAGTTTGACAAAAAGTTTGGAACATGTTTTATGAATGATTTTTGAAAAATGTTTGAGAATTTTTTTTTTGAGAAATGCTTGATGAAAGAATTTTGAAGAATGTTTGATAAAAGAATTTTGAAAAATGATGCTCGTTACTTTAAGTTCACAATTGAGACAAATTACAAAACAATAATTCATTAAATATCAAAAGGATTAACTACTCTTAATCTTTCAAAGTAATGATTCATTGACAAGTGTCAAGATTTGGCTGATTGATTTTAGGTTGACTTCCTAAATTTTATATGGTTTATATCATATAGTTTTTATTCTCTTTTCAGAACTTTGAACATTTTGGCATGCTCCTCATTCTTGATTTGGCATTATAATCGGATGCAGACAAAATGATGTAATTAACATACTCAATTGCTAGACTTTTTAAAACACTTCTATTTCGATTCTCTGAAATCTTCCATTTGTTCACGCTTCATAGACTCCTTTAGTAGAGACATTGCTGAGACATCAGTCTAAAAATGAAACTTCTGAGTGCTAATGTGAAGTTGACTATAGCATATGTTCCTCAACTCTCTTAGTTCATCTTCACCGAAACTCCTTATTTATTTAATTTAATTTAATTTTCCCTTGTTCGACTAGCTGAACGAATTTATCCATAAAGCCAGAGCTTTTGACCAATTGCTTTAGAGAAATAGCTCAATTTTATTGTATATATATACATATATATATTTCAATTATATTTGCCTTTATAACCAATTGCTTTAGAGGGATAGCTCAGCTTTATTATATATATATATATAATTACATTAACTTCCTGGGTATACGGATTCAAGTTCTTAAGCTCATCGAGAAGAAACTATTATAGTCTAAGTGCCATTGAAGGTCATAAAATTTCATCCTTAAAGTTTGCTTCCCAAGCAACTGACCTAAACTAGATTATCTACTCCATTATTACATCCATGAAGATTAAAATCATTATTGAATGTGTAATCTAATATGCTTTACAACCTCATATGCAAGATGCCTCATTTTGTCTGCTCCTATACATACCTGAACGACAAGCCCTTTGACCATCTTTTCGTAGGTAGAGAAGGCTATTTTTTTCCGTGCAAGAGAAAGGTATAATGTTTGGGTATATCTTATGTAGTAGGATTAAGGGTCCTTATTTTACAAAGATTCAATCTTGTCACTTGCCAAGGAGGCTATAGCTTTGATTCTCAAGCGATCATTTAGTTTAACTGATATTTAAAGAACTTCAAGGTTAAAACTTGTTTCATTGCTCATAACCTTAGAAAGTAGCATTTTATTTAACATGTTCTGATGTCAGATGCCTTTTAAACTTTTTAAACAGAGGAAGAAATAAAAGCAAGTTCAAATACGATG